GGGGGGGGGGGGGGGGGGAGAGATGGGGGATGTGCTCCGCGAAGGGGGTGCAAGACCAGCTTCCCTAAGGACCCCTAAGCCCAACCGCCCAGGCAATACAAAGCAACAATTAGATTCGCTCACAAAGTAATCCACAACCGACTAACTATGGCTGAGTCCCTCTGCCACTTTCATATAGGCTGATCATGGCAAGGGGAAGTTGCAATTGTTGGCTAAGCCAGCTAGCAACAGTCCACAACTGCTATGTGCACATGCTAGCATCTCCTTCATGTTATGCACATGCCAGCAACTACACAGAACCGCCCTGCATGCCATGCACATGTCAGCAACCGTCTGGAACCGGCATCATTTGTAGTGCACATGTCCCAACTGTTTGGAATCATCTCACATGTTGTGCACATGCCGTCTTTGCGAGCCCACAACACTTGATTTTCCTTGCCTTCATGTCAATCCATGCCTAGCCCATGACTTGGTCTTCCAAGTTAGTCTTATCCCACAATTCAAGTCCACTAGCTAGCCTTGCTTGCATGCTTACTTGTGCCCAACATGCCCATGCACAAGTTGCTTTCCTCAGCCATGCATGGGGCTTCAATCAACCCCCTGGTTGTGCCCAACGTGCCCATGCCTATGCTACCTCCTTCAGCAATGCATAGGGCTTCAATCAACCCATTGGTCATGCCCAATGTGCCCATGCATGCGCTGCCTCCCTTAGTCATGCATGGGGTTTCCACCAACAAGTCCCACCGATTATCGGCCTCGCATCTTGGGTCTAGGACATTGGAATGCCTTACGTCCACCTATGGTAAGTATTTGTTGGGGTCGTGTCTTGCTTTTGTGTGCCAAGGATTAGGGGCAGAAGGGGTCCCTAGGGAAGCAGGCCTGGCCCCCCCTTTGCGGATCACCCCCCATAATAGCATTAGTGAGCAGAAACCTATTGACAACAATAGACATACTCTGAGCCGAGAAGTCCTAATGACTTAAGTCTGGGGCATAGTCGTTGCATGCCACTTGAACTTTTGTCAAACCACTTTGTAACCTAATAAAACACAAGTCCAAGTGTTTTAGGAAGCCAATTTTGCACTAAAGGTTTGCTGCACCAAGAAAAACCCAATTTGGCTAGGATGTGGGCCCCTTTGGGCGAGGCAGCCCCATGCCAATGCCAAGCCAAAAGCTAAAGGGGTAACAAACTACCCACACCAGAAGAGGTCGATGTCTTTGTCGAGAGGTTGTCTTGATTTTTCTTGTTCTGATCAGGATCAACAAACTTCTTCCTTCGACAGGCAGCCTTTGCCAAGCTGTCATTGGTCTCATCAAGCAATCCTTGCTTGAAATGATCAACCCTGTATGCAGCAGGACATCCATCTCCAGTCCTTTGTTTCAACATTCCTCTATAAGTAAGTGACTACTGCTGTCCCGCGGCCAACATCCGATAAGGGACATGGGCTGAAAGCTTTGCACTATGATTTAACTCGTTTTTGTGATCAACTCCACATTCGGGCATAAGGGTCTTAAGGAGTTTTGGAGACATAATCTCAACATATTCCTCCAAAATTTTCATCAACAAACCAGATATTTTAACCTTCTCATCAGGTTTATTCTCCATCAAGGCTGAGAGATATGTCATCTCACCTACCTACAACCCAGAATCCACTTGCATAGTGGACATCATCTCCACTTTTCGCTTGCCATCTTTTCTTCTTTGGTCTGCCACCTCTACAGGAACAAAACATGATGTTCCCTTATCTGAGATCAGCATCCCATTTAAATGTGGCATTAGCGCCACCTTGGCCTTTATGAAGAACTCGTTCCCAAGGATGACATCAAAGTTATCCAAGGGTATAGCCATCATGCTCACCCAACCTTCCCATATACCTACTTTTAGGCTTGTCTCTGTGTTGCCATGCATTGGAATTGTTCCCGAATTGACAATCTTGAGCTTGCTAGAGTTCTCTTCCAATTGTAGGCCAAATGTTCCCACCTCCCTTTGCGCAATGAAGTTATGGGTGGCACTTATGTCCACTATGGCGACAACTTTCCTCGCTTCTCGAACCTGACCACTCACCTCTTAGGCTTTACCTTCAAGAAGACATGATCTCTAGCCTCGAATTCCAGAGGTCACCGCCACTTGCTGACATAGTTCTTTTGCCGGCTCTAGGCCATAAAAAGATGCTTCCGTATCATATCCACCTTCTCTAAGGTGTCCCTGATCAAATTCGAACCCGTGGATGATCTCTCTCCAACCTTCGTCTAACAAACCGGATAACGATATGACCTTCCGTAAAGTGCCTCATAGGGTGCTAATTGTATGCTTGCCTGATAACTATTGTTGGAGGCAAACTCCACTAAGGGTAATGCTCCTCCCAACTATCCTTAAGGTCAAGGATGCATGCTTGAAGCATGTTCTCCAAAATTTGGATGATTCTCTCTGAATGACCATCCGTTTGGAAATGAAAAGTTGTACTCATCATCAACTATGTCCCCATAGTCCGTTGAAAACTCTCCCAAAAATGGATCATGAACTTGGGATCCTGATCTTACACTATAGATACGGTACCCCATGCAACCGGACTATCACCCGTATATAAAATCTATAGAATTTCTCTAGTTTGAAGGGCATTTGCATAGCCAAAGAGTATGTCGACTTTGTAAGCCGGTCCATGGTCACCCACACCACATCGTGCCTAGGCGATGTCCGTGGCAAGTGAGTCACAAAATCCATAGTGATGTGCTCTCATTTTCACTCAACCACTTCTAAAGGTTGGAGCAACCCTATAGGTTTGCAGTGCTCAGCCTTGACTTGTAGACATGTAAGACATCTACTAACAAAGTCTTCGATGTGTCTCTTCATCCAGCTCCAATAATATTGGTGGCAAAGATCGTGCTACATCTTCGTGCGGTTTGGATGCACAGCAAAACGGGAGCAATGAAACTCTCTAAGTAACTCCTCACTCAAATCCGGAGACTGGGGAAATATAACTCTTCCCCCATATCGAAGACTGTCATTGTGAATAATGACTTGATTCGAAATGTGTAAATCCAAGTGCAGGCGGTCAAGTTGTAGTAATAATCCGGTGAAGTCCGGAGTCGAATCCACAGGGAACTATAATTGGTGTTTTGAAGTAAGCAATAATAGAGACCAAGTAACTTGGAAATTTCGAGTGTTTGGATTGGTGGAGTTTTCTTGAATAGAATAAAAGATTCTTTTCAAGAGTTTTCTAGACAAAATATAAGATTCTCAAAATGTAACAGCCATCCTTTAGCTCGAGGATTAGGACATGTAATAGAGTATTCGTTTATTATGTTTGTGCTTTATAATTCAATTAACTCCCGTGTCAACAACAAGTTAATCGGAAGATAAAGATGGACTGTGAGAATTAAACACATGATTCCGATACTTTACTAGAAGTTTA